AAAATAGATGAGGAAGTAGTTTTAAACCCTCTCTTTCTCTTCAGGACATGGGTATTGCTGTGAAGAGGAGCAAGACCTCTTTTGCAGCTTGAAGTCTGGGGAACAGAATACAAAAGAGAGGAGAGATGGGAAGCTAGCACCATGCACTGGGACAGAAGGGTGGGATTTGAAAGTAAGGAAGAAAGGGTGGAGGTAAAGACAAAAAAGGACAATGATGCAAGGGAGAGAACTGAATGAAAGGATGAGAGAAGGTGTAATTTGAGTGGAGCAGAGCCAGCTCTGAAGGTATAGATGAGTTGTTAAAATATGGTAAGTCAATTAGGGAGAAACGTCTTCAAGCACTGGTTCCCAGCTGAGGCTTATGATCCCAACTTCTTTTCCAGACCATGTTCCTGCATTTGGGGAGCTAGTGGTCAAAGGATACCTGGTAAATCAGGCAAAGGAGGAAATGAAAAACTTTATCTGCCCGCCTTCAGAGTACCTAGGCAGGGAGGCCAGAGCACAGGGAGGGTAGCAGGGTGAAATCCAGATGTAACTAAAGCATGGATTGAATTTAATTGCTGGGATGAAGTGTGGTGTGGGCTTAGATTACGGAAGAACATGGGACTGGATATAGCAAGAATTTGAATAAGGGAGAAACAAGAAAAACAAAATTTGTAGTGATCCACTGAGCTGTGGAGGTCTGGTGCTAAGGAAGGGGAGAGGAAAGGGCTTAGCTGGCCTTGAGACAGACTCAGCCTGAGCTATGCAAAAGATATCCCCTGAAAGCACATGCGAGCCCAGGGTTAAACTCTAAAAGTTGCGGCAGAGATTTTCTGAAATACGACCTCCGAGCAGTCTTTGAATTTGTACCATCTGAGGGGAGAGAGCACAACCTGGTTAGTTAGAAACCTCTTTTTTCACTGTTAACAAATTTGTGAAATTGTGTGCTAATTAGTGTATGATTTATAAATTTACATAACTGCCTGCTACATAAGACAACACAGAATATTGAATGAGGTGATTTAAACCAGCAGAAACACTGAAGTCTGCTCTGACTGGGTGTCTCTCCTCTGGCCTTTCCTAATTCATAGCTGCTCCCTGCATCTCTTGAAGTCCTAACTGCTCATGATGACAATAAATGTTTTACTATAATGTGGTGCCATGTAGCCGTGAGAGAACAGGCTACCTGGAGAACCTTTGGCAAGGTTGTAGCAGAGCTTTCACCACGGTGCTTGTGGAGGGTGTTTGGAACAGAAATCACCAAAAAAAAAAACAGTAAACAAAACAAAACAAAACAAAAAAACAACTTGTTCTAGTTACTGTTGGTTTTTGACAACTCCCAAAGTGGTTCACAGGAAATGCTGGTGTGTCCCAGCTGCAGCAAAAGGACGGGGACCTGGGGGAACAGGGTTTGATTTCCAGCTTTGGGCAAGCCACTTTGCCTCCGTCTGCAGCACTTTGGGTTCAGCTGGAGAAGACTATCAGGAATCGTACTTACTACCACATCTCTGAGGGGCTGTGACTTGTATTAACACCCATGGTGTGAGGTGCTGGGCATATACACAAGCAATTTGTCTCTGAACTGTAAGGTGTTGTTCACATCAGCCAGTTGTTCTCATCTCAGACTGAGTCTGAGTTGTTCTCATGACTCAGACTTCATATATTTTGAAGCTTGAGGGGCCATTTCCGGCCTTCGGAAGCTAAACTGGAGAAATTCAGATGTCCCTGACAGATAAGGCCCCATCTTATATGAGGTGAGAGATGCCCAGCAGTGAAACCAATCCACAAGCTGCAGCAACAGATGTTAATTCCTAGTTTCCTTACTTCAGGAATCATCCTGAATATGTACAAAATTAAAAAATAATAATAAAAAAATAAAATCACTTGTAGCATTCATTAAACAGCCTTAGAGCATTAAGTTCATTCTTTCTGAGCTTGTGTCTGTATATGGAATGTAAAAAATCAGGAGAAGTTGTCTTTCCTGATTGTTTATTGGCAACTACCTTAAAGACTTGAAGCAATGATGCAGTTGGAGCCCTTCTCTGAACAGAGTGGTGATTGTCACGAGCATCAAGGGCAATGTGGGAGCTCCTCTCCTCCTCTAGAGCTGGTAAGGAAGGAAATGGTGAGGTAGATTCACAGACATAGAGGCTTGTTCTTTCCCAAGCTAGAGTTGTCTTTTAAAAGCGCCTTGTCAACATCTTCCAGTGTTTAATTATCTGCTATGAAGCTGCCTTATTTTGAGGTTGAATTGGTCTAATTCTAATTTCCAGCTGATGGACTTAGTTGTGCTTACAGAAACAAGATGTCACAGTTCCCCTGTTACTGGACAGTAAGTACTCCTATGCGGTGGTAACCTCCCTGCTCAGCCTTCTCTTTGACAAGCTGAGGTCTTTTAAGCCTGGTGCCACAATGTCTGTTTTCCAGCCCCTGGATAATTTGGTGGGGATGTCTGTTTCTGAACTTTCCCCAACATCTATCCATCTTGAAGGGTTTGCACTACAGCAGAATAGCAGATTCCAGTTACCATTGCCATGAATGGTGACAAAGTGGCCACATTCTGCACAGTATTTCCCGTTTGACTCTTCAGGAGCCTTGTTTGGAGGTGTTGGGCTGGGTACTGGTCTCATTGCACTTAAGATCATGGCTGTTTCTTGGAAGCAGAAAGTCTGGGTGTGAAATCAGGAGACCCTGCTAAATCTAGTAGAGTTGAGGAGGAAGAAATAGTGCGATGTAGAAACACCAAGCAGAAAAAAAACACATGGGATTCAATTTGTGATGGAGGGTGAACTTTGGGGTGCTGCATCCATGAACTCAGCCACCTTGAAAACAATCCGAAAGGCACATGCTTAATGGCAAGGAGGGAAGCCAGACAGCAGAAAACCTCACAGGGGGAAGAGTGAACAAAGCAGGAGGTGATGATACCTGATAGCAACAAAAACAGACAAGAAGACTTTTGAGCTGCAGGTGAGGAGGTGATGACATCTCCAAATTGCACAGGAAATGGCTCCTTGTCAGTGGCTCTGGTGCCCTGGTATTTGCACGAGTGCCTTCAGCACAGGGATCTCATTACCAGAGAGTTTACTGGCAGATTGGAGGGATTTCAGTGAGGAGTAATAAAAATGATCAGGGACTGCTAGAATTGACATAATGAGGAAACAAGATGAGAAGAGTCAGATATTTATAGCTTGGGTGAGAGAGACAATTAAAAGGTGGGATGGGAGATGGACTGGGTGACCTGAAAGCCTTGTCTGTATCTAATAACTTCTCGTTGTGCTGTACAGAGGACTTGAATTTACCAAGGCTGTCAATCTGACTCTTAACAGCCCTAACTTCCCATGTTGAAAAGCTCAGGTGGGTGTACTCTGGCTGTATTGACACTGTCAGAATGTCACTGGTACTGTACTTTGTTTAAAAAAAAAAATAGTCATCAGCCATGTTGTGGAAAAAATTGACACTTTGACAGCAAAGGGGAAAAAAAAATTAGACCTTCATAAAATGAAAAGCCATTGAAGTCCTTGCTGAGAGCCGGCCTGAATGGAAAGGGCTCCTGCGTTGTGAAACCCGTGCTGCTGAGCTCTTCTGCTGTCCGCACGGAGCTCTGCCTAGTGGGGAGGTCCTCGTAGAGAGATGGAGCCTTGTAGAGGGATGGAGCCTTGTTCTGTGTGAGGCAAATGCTGTGCCTCCCAGCTGTGCACACAGGTGAGCAACACCCCTGCTTTCTTGTCCCTGTGCGATGCTGAGCTGCACGAAGGCGCGCTGCTCCTCCTGGGTTAGAGATCCCTGACAAGAGAAATGGTGGCACACTGGCCCATCCGAATCATCAGTGAATATCCTTGTGATAAGGGGTATTTCAAACTGGGGCTGAGCTGGTGGCCGTGCCGCATGCTCCTGACCACAGCGGAGGAGAGAGCTTGGGGTTTGCTCTGGGCTTGCAAGGCTGCAGCAGTGCTGGGGCAGCCCAGCTGGAGGCATCTTGGTGCCTGGGTCTGCAGGCAAATTAAAACGCCGCGGCTGAAAGCAGCAGGGCTGTGCCTGTTAGAGGCACTTCAGGGAAATATCAGAGCGGCGTCTGTTGAGTCTGGTGGCGGAGTAGCCGCACTGTTTTAATGATACCTGTGTGCAAAGGCCACAGCTGCTTTCATCCATTTCACATTAGTCTGACTTTCACGGAACAGACATAGCCTACGGTGGTGGAAGGGAGAGAAAGGTGACCAAAAAAAAAAGGCAAAAAAAAAAAAAACACATCCATTTTTTACTACTTTTTCCATGCTTCTGAGCTGCGATACCAAGCTCCGGCTGAGCAACAGTAATCTTATCCAGCATACTGTTGATTTAAGCCTCTTGGATTTATATAACTTTGGAAATGGTAAACTATATTAATTTGCTGTGTTTTCAAGGGAAAGTTATTTATTGAGAGACATTTTTAACTCAAGTGCCAGGAGCCTTAAATCATTATAATAAATTCATGCTATTCAGGGCTTCTTACATTGTAATAAATTTGTTTTAAACATGAATGAGGAGATCCATGATTTCTTTAATATACTGTTATGTATTTCCTTTCAAAATGACACAGCTCACTATATCAAGTGGGAGAATAATAGTGAGAGATTTACAATACTTAAGAATAACACAGCCTGGGAATGTGACATGTTAACCAACAGCGGGCAGGGGGCTGGCGAGAGGGGAGCCCACCGCTCCTGGTGGCAAGAGAGAGAGTTAGCAGTGTGACAGCAGGTCAGGACAGGAGGGTGAAGGCGAGAGCTCAGTGGGAAGCATCCCTGCAGGATGGGAATCACAGCCGAGCATTACAGTCACCTCCGTTTTACTGTTAAAAGTGTGGTTGAAATTCCCGAAAGGTGATGCAGAGTGCTTGCTGCAAGTCACCTTCCCCTTTGTGGCTTCGGGCGCCCACCTCAGCCCCTCCACAGGAACCTCGTCCCACGGTGGTGCACATGGATCACATTCCTCAGTGGCCACCAAAGCCTCAAGTGCAGTGAGGAGGCACCAGGTAAGCACTCTGATAAATTTCGATCTCTGCTGTTAATCCCTGATCCCTCATTAAACCTCTGCTAACCCTGCCACTCACTGCTGGACTGCTGCGAAGAGCACGAGATGATAAAACACGCGGCTGCCTTCACATCATGTCCTTCCAGCTTCACGGGGATCCCTGTGGTGAGTAGAGGAGGAGATGGGCACAGACACTGCCTTGGCGATGTGAGCATCCCAGGTCTGGACACAAATCTGCTTTTGCATCACAGCCATGGCTTTCTTGGAGAGCAGAGCCCCTGCACACCGTGTAAACCTTGTGTCTGCACCTCAGCATGCTTCCTTTCTTCAGGAGTGGTATCTGATGCTTGCAGTGATCTTGGGATAGGGGTTGAGTGGGGCAAAACATCACAGTGCCCAGAGCTACAAAGGCCAGGTGGTTCCCTAGTATCTAATGAGAGCAATTACCCCCTGAGATGCCGAAAAGCCTCCCAGCAACCCAGTGCACAGCTGGGCTGTAAGAAAGCCCCACCAGCAGCTCTGCAGAGGAGGCAGACAGACTTGAGGACTGCGCTTGCTGTCTCAGTGATCTCTGTGCTTTGTTTGGAGTTTTGTTTTGATTTTTTTTTTTTAAATCATCTTGTGCTTGGTTTGAAGTTTAGTGGTAGTGCTCCAGAGCCACCAGCAGATCTGTAACCCCCCCAGGCAGCTGCCTGTAGGATTACTAGAACTTCATCCCACAAACATGCAGGTCCTGGCCCCAACCTAAAATCTGCACCACTCTACCACAGACCTAGCTCTGTTTTGCTTCTGGAGTGCTGTAAGAGCAGCAGCTGGCAGCTATTTGCTAGGTAAGTGATGGCTTTAGATAATGCATCATGCTCGGTCCAAGTGTACTTGCCACAAAAGACACGTTTTGTCTCATACCCTAATGAACCCGCACTCTCCCTCACCCCTACCAGCACAGGGACTGAAGTGGGCAATTGTGTATAGGGACAGAAGCAAAACTTCTGGCCCTAAAACCACTGCCCCTAGGCTGCCTGTGCAGAGAGCCAAGAGCATTTGCGTAGCTCTGAAGTGTTAACAGCTCTCTGGTGGATGGGGCCATAACAAAATGCAGCCGGACACGGCCCTGCTGGCTACAGGTGAAATGTGGGCTGGACGGCCCTACTGAAATGTGTAGGCCACCCCAAACCTGCATCCCTGGCAGCCTGGGCATGGGGCTGGCAGCGGAGGGAGCAAGGCCAGGGGCAAGGCCGTGGGCTGCCGGGTGGCTTGGAGAAGGCCCCGCCTGCTCGCAGGAGTGATGGCAGGGCCTCATCTGTCAGCGCAGAAAAATGTCTGGCCAATAAACTTGCCAAACGTCCCTAATAAAGGGCTGGATGTGTTATCATGTAGAATGGTTTTATAGGGGACGGCCATAAAACGTGCACATTGCCCTTTAAAATGCCAGGACGAGGATTGATTCCAGCAGGGCGGAGGGAGAGGAGGAGGGGGAAGGAGGCTAATTGGAAAAGGGGGATAAATCCAGGGGCTCATTTCTCTGCCGTGGTTCCCCAGGGTGTCAGGGAGCAGTAACAAAGCAGGAGTCATCGCTGGGCTAACCAGGGCTTACGTGCCGTGCCTGGACCTGGGCTTCTTCACTCTGTCCTCTTCACCCCATGCAACGCTGGGTGCCCTTTCTGGCATCTGCTTCTGCTGCTGGCTCAGGGCAGCCCTGCTCTTGCTCCTTGTCCTTGGCCTAGGGAAAGCTGCAGAGATACCTCCATCAGCATCTCTGTTGGTTTCTCCTCATCTGTGCCTCTCCTTCTCATCCCAGGGCTCCAATACCCGTTGCTTCCCCCTTTCAGCTTCCAGTAGATGTGTCCTGCCTGGCCCAGAGCTCAGCAGCTCCAAGGAGGAGGCTCCTTTCTTCTTCTTCACCCTTGCAACTCTGCCTGGTCCCTGGCTGTTGGCTGGCCCTGAAGTCCACCACTGCCAGGAGATGGGCCACAAGGGTTTGGGCAGGAGTTTTGGTCCTCTGCACTGTGGGAGAGCCCATCCTGAAGATGCAGGTTGTTGTATGTGCTCTGGGCTCTGCTTGAGTAAGCAGGAGAGGGGGAGCTGGAAGGAGGTCCAAGGTGCGTTTAGAAGTGATCAATAAATATATTGTACTCCAACTCACTTTTAATGCTGCAGAAAACAGGCAGTGATTTCACTTAATAAATGTAGACAGTCTTGCAGAGCTACAAGACCATCTATTCTGCTAGACAATTTCTACGCAACGGGATGGCACGAGACCCAGGCCCCGGTGTTTAACGACAGCTGAGGCTCCGAGACTGCTGTTGACGGTGGGGGGCTGTTTCTGATTTCTCATTTTCCTTTTTTAGTTTTCCCGAACACAGATGCTGGGCAGCCAAACCCTGATGAGATCTGGCAGCAGGAGAAAATAATAATAATAAAAAAAAAGTCTCCTCCTTCAAAAGTCACTGAAGGCATTGTGAGTTTGGCCTCTGGGTGGGAGGTCAGCAGGTACTAGAAGGGCAGAAAAAGAAAGAGCCAGGAAAAGTCAGATTGTTGTTTGGCAAGGATTCGTTCAAAAATATTTATTGATGTCAGTGTGGATTTGTTGGTATTTGCCAGGTCTCACTTGTCCTCCCACACCATGCATGTGGCACTGCTGAATTTTGAGTTTGAAGGGACCCTGGAAACCCCTAGAAAGCCTCGTGGTGGCACCAGCGGGAGGGAGCGGGGGTGGAGGCAGCCCCCCTGGGCTTGCAGTTTGTCCCTCGGCTCTGTAAATGCTCTTCCCAGTTGGATGCCGTCCTTGGTGACCAAACCCAGAGAAAGCTGCAACTCAAATGGAGCAGATGCCTATTTGCTTCCACTGGGCGTGCAAAAAATAACACTTCTCCCATCAGTAAGAGATGAGTCAATATATCATGATACAGACCCATGTTAAACAACATGACTAATGGATGTGGCGTATCATGTGAATTTGGATGAGAGAATAGGTTTTGATATTAACTGTTTTTTCTGGAAAGCAGAGAGAGCTTATGAAAAATAGCCAAAGAGATGGATCTCACCTGACTTTCTCATACGGTGCACCACCTCATATGAAAACAAGTTATGTTTATTCAACAGAGGTGCTTTAGGACTGACACAGATTTTGAGTTCGCCAAACTGGGTGGTGTTCAAGTCCAGGATTTTCAGTTTTGTTACACAGTTGTGAAGTTTGGAGCAATGTCTAGGCTCCCAGCCTGAGATGCGTCTCTGAGGTCTGGATTTGCTTCTTCACTGCCTTTTGGCTCAGGCCCATCTCTACTGTACCCACCACAGTGAAATTTTCATTGAACACCGTTTTAGTTCTGGAATTGTAATTAAATTTAAGGGCTGGTAAATTTTGCTCTGAACACTTTTCTGGCTCCCTTCCTAAGCATTTGGTCTACTGATCTACTACGTAGTGTTTTGCAGATGCTATTGTATATTATATTGCCAACCACAAGTACAAAAAAATGTGTGATTTAGAAAAATACTAATAACATTCGAGGTCTTTTTGTTGTTGTTGTTTGCTCTAATGGTCACACTTCAAGGCTTTTTTTCAATGTTTGCTAGACATTGAAAAGTTATGAGGTTATGGGGCAGGTGGGAATCTCATCCTACCACTTGACTCCAAGAGCTCTGACCTTTCCATTTCCTCATCAAATTTACGATCAAACTGTGAGCATGACAATACTGCATGTAATTTCACTTTGAATTAAAGCATTTCCTCCAACATCCAGCAATAAGGAAAATGAAATCTTCAGGTAGGGTTTACTGACTTGCCTTGAAAGAATTTCATCTCGTGCTGAACATTAAGCCACCTAGCAATATCTAGGTACTTGTCTACTTTGAGACCCGTGGGAGAATTACATCAAACTCAGTCTTAAAGGGGATTAATTAAGCTGCATCAGGACCCTGTTTCAACACTCAGAATTTAGATAAGTTGAAGTAAGACCCCTTTAATTTACGTTTTAGGGAATGAACTGAAAGAGATGTGAGACCTCTTTGACACCAAACGAGGGTGTCCGAGAAGCAGCTGATATGGTTTGACTAATCTGTTTTACATGATACATTAGTTAATTCAGACAGAATGACCCAGCGTAGACAAGCTCTGAGATGTTGAGACTGAGTGTGATCGTACTGCAAATATCTGCTTTCCCAGCTGTTTTGTGAGGAGATAGGAGGTGTGTAAGAAACAAGATGATCTATAAAATGTGACAGAGAAGGTAAACTGGAGATAATAGCTCCCAAATGTCTGCTGTTCTGAACAAGTTTTGTCCAATATCACCTTTGTTGTAGTCTCAGTTTGTCTGTTTGTCAGTTTGTCTGTTTGTTTTAAAGCTTAATCAGCTTTTTTTGAACATTGGGAAATTTTACTTTTGAGTGAAGACTCAGACTCATTTAGTTAATTAGATGCCAAGGTGATGTGTGCATTATCTACACTTCAGACAAATTCTTTTTCTTATGCCTGCCACCAGTTACTTGGCTGTGAAGTCTGATGTCTCAACCCTTGCCAAGATTTCTGAGTTGAGTTGGTGGTGTGGGATTTCTCCACCTTTTGGTTCCCATTTCTAAACACAAGTAGTTTTCTGTTTACCATTATCTTTATCTTTTTCTCTCTCTTTTTTTTTTTTTTTTCTTTTCTGGAAATCAGATCCCTTCAAACTGGAGATCTGACACAAATGATTCTCAGTGCCTTGAAAACAACCTGTACAGTATCCAAGGTCATTTCTTCTTGATAAGAAAACTGACAAACTCACCTTTTTGGGGCAGAGTGTAATGAGAGCAGGGGGAATTCATGAGATGGTTCCTTCCTCCTTGGTGCCAATGCATATTCATGTAGGATTTTCCAAATTTCCAAACAAAGCTGTGATGTTCATGAGTTCGAGGGCAGCTGGAGCATCTGAGAAATATCCTGTGGCTTGGAGTTCCAGCATGACCTATGTTATAAAGTTTTCAGTAGGCCTTTGAGATCTCAGTATATAGACTGACTGGAAAAGGACAGATTCCACAAAGCACCATACCACCCCCAAACCCACTCACATATCTCCTGATGAACAGTCCAAAGGCACAGGTAAGACACTAGATGTAGTCATGAGCACCTTGCAGAAGAACTGCCCAAACTCCTCGGGGAACCCCTGGAAAAAGCCAAGAGCAAGTCTGGGCCAGCCTTTGATGTCCCATGGAGAACTTTGGCACCTGAGATTTGATGCACTGAGTCCATGGGGAGCCCTGCGGATGGTGGGGGCTGGCAGGGTCTCTGAAATCCACGTGCAGGCTGTTTTGCACTGACAGGTCCCATGAGAAGGGCTGGGGAAGCTAAGGACAATGGATAACCTGCTAAAGGTCATTCAGCAGGTTGTGGAAGAGCTGGGGCAAATCTCATGGGTCCTTGCCTGTTCTCGCTGTTACCAGCTCATGCTGCCTCTCACTTGGTCATTCCTGTGGCTGCTGGTAGTGTTCCCTGCTGAATTTACTTCCTGCTTTTGCAGAAAAGTGCTCTTAGTACAGGGCTGAGCCTGAGGCATGGTGTTGAAGGACATTTGGAGATGTCCAATATCCTATGAGGCAGACTTGCTGCAGGAGGAAACCTCCCAGGAACAGCCTGGAAATTGGTGCTTTTTGCTGGTCCTGCGTGGGGAGACTGGGGACCTTTCCCAGCCCTTCACTAGAGGAACAACAGAGTTTTCTGAGCTGGAAAATTAAACTCTTTGCATCAGGCGAATCCAAAGCCAGAAATTAATTTTGGAAGAAGGGTTCTCCATTTTGCAAACTCCAGCTGCATCCAAACAGGTTTAGGGTGGCTTTGCTAAATGCTTTGCTGAGCCCTGACAATCCTTGGAAGGGAACCCAGTCCTCCTCCCCAGCTCCCCGAGAAGGTGAGCGTCAGTGTGGGACGTGGTTTGTACAACTTCTGCACAAAGCAGCTTAGCAATGGGCTCGCTGGCTGGTGCAAAGAGCTCCTGGTGCTCCACTTCATTGCTCTTGTCTGAATGTTGGCCACAGGCTTTGCTGAGAATTATTGTTCATGCTAAGGCAAATGGGTCCAAAGAGAACACAATATAATGCAAGATTACATTTTTCTGGTGATTTTTAGGGGGAGTGTACTCCTCCTACCCATTATTAGCACTGCCCCGTGCAGTGTGCTCTGGGCCATGCACTTTAGGAGCAGTCTCACAGTTTTCTCTCTTTCCATCTCAGGCACAGCTACCCCTGGATGAGATGCAGCCGCTTGGTACGTGGGGCTGTACTGAGATAAAGCACGAAATCCCACACCATGGTGCCAGACAAGTGTTCTCACAAAAGAAACTGGAGCCAAAATCGGTTGCTTTTGCTTTTAAAAGCTAATATTATTTTCCTTGTAGAAGCAGTTAATTGACCAAAGGCTGCGCACATGGAGTTTGCTTTCAGAGAAGGATGAAGAAAGAGAAGGCGTGGACAAGGTAAGAAATTGAGAGCCAAGAAGAAATACTTTGAGCAGAGAGGTACGTGATTTGCCAAAGAATTAAAAGGACTATGAAAACAAACAAAACAAAACAAAACAAAAAAAACACAGGCTAATCTGAGGACATTTAATTCTGACCCAGAGCAGAAGCCGTGTGCTGTAATTACAGCCTCCTTCCCTTTGGCTGTCGCAGAACAACTCCTCAGGAGGAAAGAGCCATTCCCAGGAGCATCAGGAGGTTGGAGTGGACAGATGTGCCCTGGCTGAACAAGCCTAGTGTGGCTTGCTGTGTGACCAAGGGGACTACTAAGGGGGGAGAGGCATCAGCATCAGATCAGGTTCACAGCATAATTCAGGTTGGGAGGGACCTCAGGCAGTCTCTAGTCCAACCTCCTGCTAAAGCCAGGTCAGCTCTGAGGTTGGAGCATGTGGCTCAGAGCTTCCTCCAGGTGGATCCTGAAATCCTGCAGGGATGGCAATCACCTAGACCCTGGGGAGGACAGGGTTTCTGGGCACTCTTCTCCAGTGCTTGACTGTCCTCATGGGGAAAAAGTTCTTCCTTACACCTAGTCTGAATCTTTCTTCTCTCAGCTTATGCCTCTAGCCTGCCAACTTCCCACCACATCCCATGCACACCATGCTCAGGGCCCGGCTCCATCTTCTCAACAAGCTCTGCTGCCCCCATTTTCTGCCAGGATGAAGCGTGGGCTGATGTCCATCGTGCTGTGCACCAAGCCCCCAGAGGGGTGGTCCGCTTGCAAGGCCTCCAAAGAAGCCCTGGAGACCTACCGGGAAAACTGCTTTTCTCCCTCCCTCTTTGTCACACATCATGGCCATGGGGACAGCCCAGATGTTTATTTTGGGGGCTGGGTTCATCCATCCAGGAGCTAGAACATCACTTTTTTTAATCAGATAGCATCCCCGAAGAGCCATCTAAAGGTAACGGCTATTTTCATGAAATATTTCCATCTCGTCCCCCACCCTCATTCCCTTTGCTCTCCCACCAGCAAATAAAGGGAGAACAAATGCTCACAGAAGTGATGGCTGGGGACGGCTGGACTGGGCCATAACTGGGTGAGGCAGTATTTATTGGGATCAGAGGGTTATGGAAAACAGTGCAGAAATGCTAAGAAGAAATTACAATCGCTCCCTTACTTTCTTTTTTTTTTTTTAATTTTATTATTTTTTCTTCCTCTCCTGTCACTGGTTTTTCCTCCTAGGTGTTGGGGTCTTTTCAGAGGCAATCGTTACTGTTAATGATTTTAGCTTGTTGGCTATTATCACATTTGTGCCTGGGGACTGCAGCCGGCTATCTGGGCTCTGGCAGGCCTTGACAGCAATCAGCTCCTTCTTGCTTCACACTAATTTTCTCGGGGGAGCCCAGAAGAAAATACTTTTTCATTCATTTTCCTTTCCCTCCCTGTGTCTCCCCTTTCCCTCTCCTCTGTGCCTACCCCATCTCTGGGTGTTCTGCTCCAGGAAGGGCCCCATCAGGACCGATGGGGAGAAATCCACAGCAAGGTATGGGGCATGTGGGAGGCACTGGGATGTGTAACAGGGAGAGAAAACATCCCCTGGGAAGAAGCACCCTGGCTTTTGTTATTCATGCTGTGTTTGGACCCATCTCTGTGCTGCCGCTGATCCCCCAGCTGTTACGGAGAAAGGCAGGGATCATTGTGGTTATTTTATGAAAAGGGTACGTGGATCTATTTCAGTGGCTGCGGCTGAGCGCAGAGCTTTTACAGCCTTGAGTTTAATATTCTCTTTTTTCCCTCCATCATCATTTTATATTATTCAAAGCAAATCAGACAGCCTTTGAAGAACAGCTCAAAGCCTTTTTTCTTTTTTTTTTTTTTTTTTTTTCTTTTTCTTGTTTAAGGTGGGAAAGAGAGGGAGCCACCTGGTACACTTCCTTTCTCAATTCAGTGATTTTATTCAGTGGGGAAGAGATCACGTCGCATCTTGTTCTTTAAAGCAGTGTAAAAGGCAGGTAAGATCTGTATTTCTAAAAGCCCCCAAAGAGAGTGCTTTTCTGGAAGGGTGACCAGCATCTTTCTTGCACTGAAGCAGCCTGGCTGGTGGAAATTTGACTCCTCATGTGTGGAAGGCTCTAGCCTGGAACCACTGTTGTACTGAGAGATACTGATGAAAAATCATTGCTCTGAGACACTCCAGTGCATATCAAGAATGATCTTGCAGGCTCTGAGGCGTCAGAGACCACTGAAGTCAAGTGAGATGGCCACCACAAAACAGGCTGCCCAGCTGAAAGTTGCCTTCTGGACAGTCTTCTGTGCCGTGCAGAGCTTTGGCTGGGTGAGCTCTTCCACAGGAAAGCATCTTTCCACCCAGAGGAGAAGTGGCCTGAAAGCAGAGATCCCAGGCTGTAGACTGGACAGGGTCAAGGCTTCAGCTCCCATGTTTGTGGGCCCACAGAATGGTGGCTGGTCAAACCATCCCCTCCGTGCGTATGCCTGGCACCTCTTGGTCCTGCTCGGGTTTGGACCTGTGGAGGCTGAAGGGCTCTGTAGGAAGGGATTTGGGCTAACTCTCCAGTTCTTGGCTAGACACTGGTGACCTGGTGGTATTGTGTCAAAAGAACAAAGTTCAGGTCAGCCAGAGCTGAAATCACCTTCCTTGCTCTTGGCTTATACAAACCTAGGACAACCAAGAGGAAATGCAAAGTTTCACTGGCCAAACATTGCTGTTGCATTGCTCCCAGCTTGTTACAGGTGATAAGAGCACTCTTTGCCAATGTCAGAGGATGTCCTGTATGTTTTTGCTCATCTACCACCCACCTTTTCCCTAGTTTTGGGGAGCAGAGAGATCCCTAAGAAAGAGTAGGGCTCTCTCCCAGCACTCTTCTTTCCCAGGCATGACTCTGCGTGGTGGTATTGGGGTGAAAGCACCAGCCCTGTACTGAGAATGTGAACCTGTAAGAGAGCTGCTGCTGGACCTCTGCCCCCAGCTCTGAGCTTCCAGACCTGCCCGTCTCTGCTGCTCTCACCACGCTGAGGGAAGGAGCATAAAACAAGTCATCAACCCCAAAGGTAATGGCCTCTCCGGGCAGGTTGCCAGTCATTTAATATCTTTGCTAATCATCTGGAAGTGGAAGTAAACAACATGTTAATGAAATGTGTGGGTGAGGCTGAACTGGGAGGAGCTAGGGGGGTTGGTTTGGACAGTGGAAATACAACAAAAGGATCTGGGGAGGTTAGAAAGATGAGCAGGAAATTACAGTTTGGGAATTATTGGAAGGACTAGAAGTGGGCAGGGGAGCAGAGATGTAAGGTCACGCTAAAAAGGCCTTTTAGGTGCCAGGGGGTGGAGGGGAACAACAAATTCAGCCTCCACCTGCCTTACAGTCCAGTTTGGTTTGCTCAGCCACAGTAACTGGGGCCAAGAGGGCACCAAGAGGTCCCCATGTATAGCCCTGTGGGAAGAAGTGAGGAGGAAAGGGATATGTCATTGCTGGAGGAGAAACAAGCTGGTGTTATCTGTCTTGAGTGAGCAACCTACAGAGAAGAGAAGGGCCATGTGCTGAGGATGCCTCTGGATTAGCACTGGAAATTATTAAATTATCATCTCTTCATCAGAGGGCTAGACAGGTTCAACAGATGGTCCTTGCAAGTCCTGTGTGGGCCGTACTTTTAATCTGGGTGGACAAAGAGAATGTGTCCAACAGCCCAAAGGGTCTGTGTGGCAGCTCTGGGATCAGAGATGGTCAAAATCATCTGAATCACTGAATTTTCCAGTGATTTTTCTTTTGACATTTTTGCCAGATATTGGAAGTTTTAAAATGTGTGAATTTCCCTTTACCCCTCCATATTGTATTGGAGAAAAAAAAATAAAAATACAAATAAAATATATATATATTAGAAAGAAAAGGGATGAATCTTTAATGACAATTTGCAGCCATTTCTCTGCTGTGTTCACAATGGAAGAGCTGTGGCAGGGACCAGCCACCTCGCCCCTGTCTGAGCCCTGTGGGTTGCCTGGGGTTCGTTTTGTACTGAGTGCAGGTTACTAAAAGGACCTGCTGAGTTCCTGAGATGAACCCAAACTTTCCTGCATCTATGCAAAGTTCCCATGAGGAATGAGCCCAAGGGAATGTGAAAACTTTCAGAGTACTGATGTGGAGGTGGGTTTCCCTGCAAGGGTTTAAATCTTGGAGCCAGAGTGGGTTAGATGATGGGCTGAAATTAGTCAATAAGTTTCTTGGCTCAGCGCTCAGCTGGAAAGCAGGAGGGATTTGTGATACATGGAGTCTGGAAAGAGATTGCCCTGAAATTCAGCACTAGATACAGACTCATTGACTCCAAAAAGAGGGGTTTTAAGGGGCTGGAGGGGTGCTGGGGGCTTATTTCAAGTGAAATGTCCACATAAAGACATGAGAACTGTGCCCGAGAGAGGAGGACCTGACCAAGGAGCTGAGGAAGCAGAGCAGGAGATTTACTGGCACAGGCGAGCAAACCGCCTCTCTCATCTCTGCTCGTGGCTCAGGCCTTTCCGTGTCCACCCATCTCCACGGCTTTTGCTGCTCTCTGAGAGGGAAAATAAAACAAGCCATCAACCCCAGAGATAGCAACCTCCTGGGCAAATTGCCAGTTGTTTAATATTGTTGCTAATGATCTACAAGCAGAAGTAAACAGCATGTTAATGAAATGAGTGGAGGAGGCTAAACTGGGGAAAGCTGCAAGAGCTGGTTTAGGCAGAAAATAAAAGTACGGGGGCTCGGGGAGGGCAGAAGTGCACAAGGGAGAATTGGAACAGGATTGTTCTGGGGGTGATACAAGGGGATATAACAGCAGAGGAGAAGGAGGATAAAGCAGTGCCAGGCATTTGGACTGCAGTGAGTAGCTGGTGAAGGCCCACCGGTAGGGATGAAGAGACTTGGGATCAGGTGTGGAGGCTGCTGGTGATTGGTGTAGCCCAGCCTGTTGTCTCCTCTCTGCCATTGCAGTGACTGCCTGTAGACTTGCCTCTGGCTCACGGGAAACAGCCTGCACTGAGCAGTGCATGGCACTGGCAAGGAGAGCCCTGTTACAGCCCCTGCAAGAGCATCAGTCACTGCCCAAAGCTCTTTTAGGCCACCATTAGCCAAAAGGAAAGGTACTTTCCCAACACTGTAGCCTGGGATTGAATCGGGAGTCTATTGTGTTGAAGCCAGCTGTGAAGATGGCAAGTTTCTACTGGCACAACAGATCTGGGACTAAGGTTTATGGGTTGTGCTTGTCTTGAGCAGTGGGAGATGGACAGTTTCACTGGCATCACCCCGAGCCAGCAATGGGACAAGTTTGTTTAGCATCTGGCCCTAACACAGCCTGCAGGGAGGCAGAAGTCACTTCAGATAAATACTGTCCCAAAACATTTCATTTCTCTCTCTCTTTCTCTTTTTTTTTTTTTTTTTTTTTTTTTTTTTTCTCTCCCTCCCCCTCATTAGAAATTCATTGGCTCTAATTGCAGAGGTAGTCAAACTTTGGCTGCATCTGAACTGCAGGTCTTGGAGGGGACTCGCACGCTAGACAGCAAGATGAATGATTTATTATTATATTATTATTTATTCATTTAAATTCATGAATGCTTATCCAAATCCAAAATTGCCCAATTTCATCCAGATCTGAATTTATAGATTTTCAGGCCAGATGGGACCGCTCTGATCAGCAGCCTGACCTCCGGCATCGCGCGGGCCAGGGAACGCCACCCGGCAATTCCCACGGCGGCGGGAAGCGTTGCCGCTATGTAAATCAGCATTATCAAGCCCAGTGACTTGTCTGAAACGGTCTCTAGTGGAATCTGTGAAATTGGCTGGTGGTTTTCAGCTCTGTTTCTCAGCGCCGGGTCCTGCCTCCATCACGGGAAATGCAGCATCAGCTCTCCTCGGCCTGGAAGACAGGGGTGGACAGGGCTGTGGGATCAGGCTCCCTGCCCTACAGCTGTGAGATGCAGCCTTGCTCTCATCTAAATGGTTAGGCATGAAGATGGGGGAGTCTAATATCAGCTCCTACAGTGCTAACGAGAAAAACTTTGTCTATAAAAACTGCTCCAGAAGCCCATGGGAAGGGCAACCCCCAGCCAAGGTGAGCCCTGCTAAGCCGAGCTGTGGTGACCAGTGGCTCAGGGGAAGTTTGTGTGGACATCTGATGTGAGCACAGGTAGCTGTGAGCTTTACTCTTTACCATTTCCTCTGTCTCTTCAGGAAAATCCTTTTCTTTTTGTTTCGCTGCCTGTACTGAATTGCTGAACCCCAGGACAGTATTTGGACAGTAACATGCCATGGAAACCTCAAATGACAGTTAGCAATTTCTGTGGGTTGTCAGGGTTTTGAGTTTAGGGATTGGTGTGTCTAGGGGGAAGAGGTTGGGAAGTCACACAGGAAGCAAGCGAATAATTAAAGACAGACAAACTTAATAGCAGGCAAGCACAGAATGGGATCCAACCTGCACTAAAGAGTGGGATAAGAACCCTATCTCCCAAAAGCTCATTAAAATGTGTCTGTGCATATCTCAAGGATGGGTTAGAAATCAGGAAATTAGCTCTGGCAGCAAAGACAAGATAAAGGAAACCCCAGAGAGATTCTTATTTTGCTTCCAAAGACTTTGTGCTTTTGTTGTAAACCAGCTAGTTGGAAGAATTTCCCCCTTCTCCTAGTCACCAAAGCATTGATTCCCTTCTCTTCTTTGCATGATGAGATGACATCTGCTTGGTTCAGGTGCCACAGGTCCCACAGTCCTGGGCAGCAAGTGGAGTAGGTAGACTGGAGGGCTGAGCCAAAGCTACAGTCCGGTGATGGTTGCACCCTGGTTCGTTGGGCTTTCCGTGAGAGGAAGCCCAAAGCAGGACAGCTGGCTTTGCAGACTTGTAAGAAGACCATATTTATCCTCACAAGGGCATTATTTTTTCGACTTGTTTTCTTCTAAGTCACAAACTAGAAGGTGACCTGTGCAACCATGACGGGTTTGTAGGTTGTTCTTACATTCCCCATCCTGCTTTAACTGCTGGACCATAAAAGCTGGAGGAGCCTAATCTGTGAGCAAAAGCATGCAGAAACAGTTCTTGCACTTAAACTAATGCCAAATGCTAGCCTGAGAGGCAAGGACACAGGTGAGGAGTTTACAATATGTTCTGAATTACCCAGGTTTTGTTGAAGAACCCTGGTATGTAATACTAACTAGTTTTTCAGGTTAAGATGAAGCAAATATGGACTAGTGGGTGGGCTGTCCATGTGTTTGTTCAAAGAATATGCTTTCCATAGTGTTTTTTCCATCCGTAACTCAGCATTTTAAGGGGTAAAGGTATACTCTATAGGCTCATTACTCTGATTAGCTCTCAGTTCATTTCTTAGGTATCCTCCTGGCCTGAGATATGACCTTTATCTCTTTATCTCCTGCTTGGATAAGATTTGTTATCTGTGAAATTACTGTAGTGACTGTGATGGTTGGGTCTCAGAGGTCTTCTGGTGACTGAAGCCAGCTTGGTGGGCTCAGCAAGAAGGACGTGCCAGTCTTGCAGAATGAAGCATTGTTTCAAATATTTTAGCACACATGAAACAAAGACACGACAGAAAGAAAAGAGACCCAAGTGGTTTGTGCTGCAATCATATCTTCTGCAGCCCTTCAAAGGAACCCCAGACCACTTCAGACACTCCTTAACTTGCAGAAATTCAAAGATCACCTTATCCAGGATCAAAAGACAGCAACAGTTCAATGGCACACAGCAGCAATTAAAGATTAGAAGCACTGTGGCTTTGTTTTGCATTTCAGGTTGGTGGAATTGAAAGGAGGAGAATGCAATCATCGGCTGGCTGTTGTCCAGGACTCTGAGGCTGCGTCTATACCTGTAAATTAACTGTAGCTGGGTCTGCTCTCTTGCGCAGAGGCCAGCTGGCACAGGATATCCTGCATCTGTACTATTAAATTCTCTCACCCTCCAAAAAAGGGGGGGTTGCATCCAAATTGCCTACTGAGAATGGGCACTAGTCTGTGCTAATTCCCAGGCTGCATCTAGGCATCATTTGGGAAAATGCTAGTTAGCTTGTGCCAAAAACATG